TGGGCTTTCTAGATCAACTGTTTCATGAAGTATTTCGGCCAACTGCTACCAGAAAAGAACTGTGATAGCCAGGCAAGTCTTGGGCTTAGGGGATGCAGTAGGAGATCTCGAGTTTCTTTCTTGTTCTAAGACTTTGCTTTTTTCTTCTGCAAGATTTGAATATTAATGAAGTAATGTATATATATTTCAATCTATTACAAAACATATTTGGAGAAATTTTTCTTTTCTCCATATCTGTTTGGCTTCAAAATCCTCTTATCTCTCTGAATACATCCTATCCTCCTTACAGATCTGCAAATATGAAACAAGATTTCAGGGTATATATCTATATTGTTATTTGTATTAGAAAGATAATTATTTTTATAGATTTTCTGTTCATTGCCATATTATTTATCTCAGGATATACATTTACCCTATGCTGAGGAAAAATACCCTAGACTATGAAAAATCCCTTGGTAATAAGATCATGACCTTTCTCTGGACATTATCTCTGAGTTTTGACTTAGTTACCAAGAGCTCCCTTACAGACTGCTTTGTTTACTCTGGATGGCACAGGGTTCTTGGCCATAGCAAAAGAAAATTGTGAACCCAAAACATCACACAAATAAAATTGCTGGAGCTTGTCCATTGTAATTCTTACTTGCACTGCCATATGCTCCAAAAATTAGAGGATTTTAATGTGGATAAAAGTACTGGTCCAAGTACAGTGGTTAAATGTTTGTAAGGTAACATTATTTACCAGATTTTAGCATTGTATCAAATTTTTGGAAAATCTAGGTCAGCATCCTTTTAAGGCAACCTGCAAACACCACAAGCACTGGAAATAGTGCAATGGACAAACAGCTACCCCCAAATCTGGTGTTTGGACAAACCATTGCTCTGCTCAAAGTGTACAGCCTAAAAGATCAGATTCCTCCTCAATGCTGTGTTAATGCTTCTCACTTTCTTAAAAAAAAAAAAAAGAAAAAAAAGAGAAAAATATATCCTAATGTTTGTACCACTTGAATTACTAACAAATCATATTCCATCCAGTGGAACCTCATCACCCTGAATGACCTAATTATTTGTTTGAAGTCTGCCACCCTTCCTGATTTCACAAAACCCAGTGTATGAGGAGTTATGTGATCAGAGTCCCTACTTAAGGAAAGCCCATTTGACTGGAAAACAAAAAGACAGGAAAAGAGATGATTCTAGTAAAATTGATCGATGAACTTTTGGCAAAATTGGAAACTGATATTTTTAATAGCTTTGCAAAGACAGTACCCAAGACCTTGGGATTCCATATAATACAAGGGAGAGTTTAGCAGTCCTAGGACAAGTGTTTAGTGAGGCTTCTTGCAGAGACAGAGAAGTCTGCAAAAGAAAACCTATTCCTAGGATTGACTGCTCCTTCCAACAAACCTCCTTCAATAGGCAAGAAAACAGAGCAGATGCTTTGTTTTTCTACAATTCTTCCCTAATCACTGTAAAAACTGAGTGCAGTTTCTTAATGATGTGCTCATAGTAATATTCTGCAATAACTAGGCAAGATGCCAGTTGGCAAATTACAACAAATATGTCCTTCTTAATCCCCCCACAGCCTCCCTCTTGGCCAGAGCCCTAATGAGTCTGGACTGCTGTGTTGCAGGAATAAATGCTCAGCTGCATGAATGGCTCCACTGCTCCTTATAGACCTGGTGATTTAAAAGTTGGTAAACTTAATGTTGTACTGAAAGGCAGATGCAGACAGGGAGAGGTGGATGTTTTCTTGCCAAATTACAAGTGGGTTATGTCTCTTTATCAGTGGGGTTTTTTTGCCCCTGGACTGTGAAAGAATATGTTGTTCACAAAAAGGTTTCAGCTAGTCACGACTCTTATTAAGACAGTCTGAATGACAGAAGTTTCTGTGAAGAGAAAGAGCATAGCTTTGCTCTCCACACACTTTCCATTAAAAATGTCATATGAGTTGTAAAGAGTCACAGCATAAGCTATAGGGTATATACTTGTTGTAAAAGTACAACAAAGACCAGAAAAACCTGATTCTGGGAATAAAATATACAGCATCTGCAAATGGGGATAGACTTTTAAAGTCCATTCAAGTATGTGCTGTCCCCAAAGCACCAACTTGCTTTTTGCAGTTTCTGCAGAACTAGAATGTACCAGAGCAGAATGGAGCTGTTGGTAAAGCAGCCAGGGTGAGTGAACTGCACAGTGTGTCCTTGTCAGTCATGAAAAAGCTATAGTTACTAACAAAAATAGTGCAAATAAAACAATGATTTCTATTCTGTTTCCTATTCCAAATATTTCTTGGAAGATATTTTGTACTAAATAAATTAGGTTACATTTTCTTCACAGAAGTAATCAGCCTGAAACAGGAGAAAATATATTTAGAAGATGGTTGAAGGAATGGGAACATCACACGGGAAATCTGGAATTATGATCACGAGTTTCATCAAAATTTCTAGGGAAGGCTTATTAGCCTCAGTGAAGAAGAAGAGAAATTTTGAGAAGATTAATGAGAAAATCCTCATCAAATACTCAGTTTCAGAGAGTGTGTGTCTGTGGGACAGGAAAGCAGCAGGGGCAGAGGTGTCACAGTTACCTGCACATTTACCCAGTGAATGGTTCTAGGCACTGTGGTGTGGGCTTCTGCAGGAGAGGAAACACATCTTGCTCTGAAGTTTGCTTGCCAAGTCACAATTCAAGCTTTCCAACAGGTCAGTGTTTAAAACCTGTGACATCTGGAGGTGGAAAAAACAGCCAAAAAATAACAGCTTCTGCTGCCAGTTTCCAATCATGTGTACTGTCCAGTCCCTGTGTTAGCTTTGTAAGCACCATGGCCTGTGGTGACCATACCACACTTTCATGGCTGGCTTTGTATAAAGATATGAAAATCAGAGGCTGTGATGTGGCTTTGGTACTCGTATAGAAGTGGATAGAACTTGATGTTATCCCAGCACTGCTTGCTTCCCCTTGAGAGGAGAGGTCTCAGTCCCTGGTTAGAGGGATCAAAAATTTGAATGTGGAGTCTGACAGCAAATGGTTCAACTTTACCTGTGTTTCTCCTTGATCCAGGGGTCTGCCCGTGCTTACACTCCTTCTGTGGGTACCAGGCTACCTGCCAGCATGCCAAGAGGTGCCCTTATTGCAGAGTACAGCTCTTGTGGAAGGAGTTGGCCGTGGGCATGTCCAGGTGATGCAGAAAAATAGGTATTGCTTTCTCCAGAGTGTGTTGGGTCTTGTACAGAGGCTGCTGTCTTGGAGAGGATTCTGAATGGCAAACTAAGCAATGATTTTCCTGACAATAGGACTATCTGAGCTGCTGCACATTTGTGAGTTCAGCCTGGGACTAGATCAGATTGCTGAGTTCCTACTGTCTCTACCAGATGCATGTAGAGACACTTGAATGAAACCACTGCAGGCGGAATGGCTCATCTAAAGGATTAGTAGGGTTAGTTCATGAGGTCTTAATCTTCAAGAGGGAATTACAAAATCTGATAGGCATATTCCTTGAATGTACACTTAGAATTGAAACAAACTGGAAAGAAAAGCACTCATTTATTTCTTCCCCCTGTACGTCTCCTGGGGTCAGATTTTCCCACTCTTATTCTATGACTCAAAGGGACAGTAACATTTTCTATGGCTAAAATCAGACTAGTAATTTCAATAAAACAAGGTGATTCCATAATAAAGAAGAAAACCCTTTCCTGCCCATCCCCAACACTCTTTTTTGCTTTAAATTAATAATATTATTCACTTCTTTGCATAACAGTTGTGAAACGTGGATTCATACCATCAGGATGTCAAATAGAGGAGCTGTGATTGTTATGTAAACACCCAGTTATAGAAGATGAGGCTTTTATAAAACATGATGAGACCACTGGCCAGGTCACCAGGGTTGGCAGTGCTGTAGATGAATGATCAACAAATATACTGGAGAGGGAGGAATACTTGCACTGGGGAAGGAAGGGATTCTCTGAAGTAACAGCAGCTGCTTCCAAGAATATGGGGAAGATACTTTCTATTCTTGGCACCAAAGAGCTGTTGGGTGTGCAGGTTTCATGTGCTGCATATTCTGAAGACACCCATGACTCTGGAATTACTGTCTGGAAGTTTTATTAATCCCGCTAGCTGAACTATATGGCTAATGTATCAAAAAACTATCTGAAATTTTAATAAGCTCTCTGAGCCTCTGGCTCAGAATTTAGACTCGCACAACCCAAAAATACTATTAAAAACAAATCACTAACTTCATCAAACAAATTGTTTGTAGTGTAGAAAAACTCTACTAGTGGAAACTTACACATTGTCAAATCATGCAAACAAAGTTTGCCTTGCTATGGAAACAAAGGTTATGCTGGGAAAAACAACTTGCAAGTGACTGTGAAAAGTAAGTTTATAAGAATGACACCTTTCAGCTTGATCTTGAAAGACATATTGCAACACAAGCACCTTGGATTAGAAGACTATTTTTATTTCGTTTTCCACAGAGACATGTTTCTTTCACCTCTATCCTCACAAATCTCACATCAAAAACTATCAAGATATATATATATATATGAGCTATACAGGCAGAGAACTCTGCCAGTACAGCATTACTCTTCTTCTATCAAACATTCTAAGAAAAACAATTATGGTCCCTTCCATGCCCATCTAATACAAGAAAAACTAAGTCAAGAGAGAACGTATGTATGAGTCTAGCTATTCATAAAAGAGTAAAAAAAAAATCTAGTTTCTGATCTTTAAACAAAACATACTTTATACATTTGGCTAGGCTGAAATATCATACTTTGCCAAACGAAAAACTGCTCCCTAATGGTAGGTTCCCTAGCAGCTCAGTAGGTATGCAAGGCATGCAATTCATTTCCTGTCAAGGCAGAGAAAAATGGGTAGGTCTGAGATTATATTGCTAGTGTGCTTGAAAAATATCTTAGTTGTTAATGTTATAGACTGCATATATATGTTTTGACTTTTGGTCTCCTTGAAACTTTCTCAGGTATAACTTTTGGGTTAACTGTCTTTTAGCTCTCAGTGATGGAGTGTTCAACGGGAGATGAAATAGGAATTTCCAGAGCATTACAGTCATCAGTGAGGAACACCAGGTCCTGGAGAAACAAAAGAAAAACAACAACAACAAAAAAGGCTAAGATTTATAAGGAAGAAGGCAGAAGAGAGCAGCTTGGCCCTGATGGAGTTTGGGTGGTCATGGGACAGTGTGGAGACAGGCAGGGCTAAAAGCAGGGACTCTGTCCCTGTTGATGCATCTTGACCTACCCTTCTGCAGTAGGAGATCAAGATGGTGTACAGGCTCCGGGCTTTTTCCTTCAGCTCATTCACTTCAACCACTCTGTCACATCCAGGGTAGGCCACAAAATCACGGAGTTTTGCCAACACACAGTAATTCTGCAAAGCACGCAAAAGAGGTCTGTGTAACCCTGCACAAATACAGGTTTATGTTTCTCCTTCACCACTTCCAAAATTCCTACTGCTGTGTGGGAACCTTGAATTCCTACCTCTATGTACATGTAATCTGTGCGACCTTTAGTCAGGCAAATTAATCATCAATATTTTATAACAAAGATGTTTGGTCAAAATAAGTGCTTGGCAAATTGCATATATACAGTCTTAGTCTGTAGCTTAGACTTAGCTAAGTCTTAGCTTATTTATCACATGCTTTAGGAGTCAACAGCACCAATACAATCAAATCTGCTCCCATAGTAGGTGGAGTATTCTGCAGAATAGATGCACTGTCTCACTTTTTAGAGAATACCTGATTTAATAGATAAACAGATTATCAAGATCTCATACTCGATTCCTCCATTCCTGTACAATAGGAGAAACCGTGACTACCCGTCCTGATATTTTTGAAGTAATTTTTACATCAGACTTTGTGTTATCAAAATAAAACACAGATAACATGAATTTCACAACGTCTTTGTGAAGCAGATAAATAAATACCCCAGTTTTTGCTTTAAAGACAGGGAAACTGAGACACTAGAATCACATTTCTCGTTCTTTGCCATGATGTGAGACACTGGCAGCACTGGAATTGAGATCTAAAGCATCCTGAATTACAAGGCTTGGTGTGGTTGCTTATGGAAAAATGTGTCAGAAATTTGTTTTGTCTGATATTTTCTATTGTTTATTTACTCTCTTGGACTCTGGAAAAACAAGCAAAACGTATCAAATATCCCACTGAAGAACACTGTGACACTAACTGTGTGTACAGGTTATTTTTTCTTAGCTGAGAGACAAATATTGCTTTTTTTTTCTCATTCTCACACTTCCATATCCTCAGGCACACTTTTACTTTTTGTACTCAACAAGTAGCTATTTAAAAGAGAAAAAGCCAGCAAGGTATTCCTGCATTGCTTTTTATCAAAACCGGATGCCAAAAACCACTCAGGATACAAAATGAAGTAGATTTATTAAATGAAGAAAGTTAATTCTACATTTCTTCCTTTACATTATTATTAAAAGTTTTGTTGCACTTATTTAACTTCTGAAAAGGCTCTGTCACAGTAAATAAATTGTGTGCATATGGTAATAACTTAAAAATATTGATTTCCTAATTTTAAAATTTTTAATCAAGTAAAATCTCAATAAGTCCATAGGGATTTTAAAAGGTTCAAACTGAGGTTTGCTTTTTTTTGGTCATTCATCTATCTAGTTAATTAAAGTTTTTAAAAATCCTTTTAAATCCCTCTTCTGGGGTATAATAAGAGTTATTCTCACTTTTCATCAACAGCTTTTACTGCACAACAGTAAGAAAGCAGAGTGCAAACTTACGTGTATGTCCAAGTACAGCCTGGGCAGCGTCTCCACACACGAGTCCTGCGGGAGAGAGGAAAGACCCGTCGCGATTTTGTTTTGAGAGAAATTCCGCCTCAGAAGTGGCAACCCGCAGTGTCTGTGCAGGAGCAGCTTTTAGGTGGACTCACCACAGTTTTGGAGGTCTGCAGCTCCTGAAAGGACTCCGTGATTTCCTTGCTCAGAGCCAACACCCTGGAGTAGCAAGTCGGAGGGGCTGCGCTGGCGAGCAGGGCGGCGGAGAGCAGAGCGAGCGGGAGCAGCAGCATCTTCATTGTGGGCACTTTGTCCAACAGGGGAGGCAGGGAGGGAAAAGATCACTCCCACGGGGTAGGTAGGTACTGCTGAGCGTCAATTGAGTCAGCCCTCAATTAAATAGTCTCCTGCATGAACAGGAAGAAATGTCTGGGGGTGGTCCGAGCAGAGCTTACGGCCGGCTTAAATTTCCTGCCAACCTACAGGGCAGAGCTGCAAGTGCTTTCCTGCCTGGAGCAGGGAAAGAGGGAATGAGGGTAACAAAAACAAACATCACTGGCTCTTTTCATTCCAGAAAGAAAACAACCTAGTGAGCATCTCAAACAACAGAAATACGTGTAAGAAAAGGCACAGGGTTCTCAGTGTCATAGGCCTAATCCTGTATGTGCTTTGGCACATGCATCTCTCCTCTGTGATGTGGGACTACATAGGCTGCAGATACAGAGAAATCCTTCCAAAAACCAAACTTCCCCAGCACATGAAGGATAGGGACCTGTTGCAGTGAGTCTAGAAGGGGTCATCAAGTTGATTAAAGGGATGGAGCACCTCTCCTATGAGGAAAGGCTGACAGAACTGGGATTTTTCTGCTTGAAGAAGAGAAAACGTGAGGGTGACCTAATTACAGCCTCCCAGTACATGAATGAAGCCTACAAGAAAGACAGAGAGGAACTTTTTACAAGGGCATGTAGTGACATGACAAGGGGGAATGGCTTCAAACTGACAAAGAGTAGGTTTAGACTAGATAATAGGAAGAAATTCTTTCCTTTGGTGAGGCACTGGAACAGGTCGCCTCTAGAATTTGTGGATGCCCCATCTGTGGAAGTGTTCAAGGCTGGGTTGGATTGTGCTCTGAGCAAGCAACCTGGTCTAGTGGAAGGTGTCCCCATCTATGACAATGTGGTTGGAAAGAGATGATTTTTAAAGTTGCTTCCAAAACAAGCCATTCTATGATTCTGTTATTCAAAATTTGTCAATAGTACTTGTGATGGCTGCTTGAGGAGACCCATGTATTTACATATTCATAGTCTCAAGCAAAGTGAATACATCCCTATATGGCTGTGATAAAAGTATAAAACTTATTTTTCTTTCTGGGTTGAATTTATGAGGCTTTGTTCTTTTATTAGATGCCAGACGGAGCTGAGAAATCCAGATGCTGGAATGCAGGCCTGAAGCTGAACATATGTTGTTTTATATGTTAATTGTCCTGTAAAATGAAGGTATCCCTGAATGAAGAACTGGTTATCTTGAAAGCTATGCCACCTCAAAATTTTTAAATTCAGATTTTAGTAGGGTATTAACTGAAACAATAAAATATCTGGTGAAGTACTGCAGTCCCCTGGCATTGCAGTGCACCAGGAAGATTCATCTGAAGGTGAGAAAACTAGTTTAGGAGAAAAAAAGTATGCTCTGTATGTTACAGAGAACTCTGGGTGGGGGGAAATAGAACAGGGCTGTATACCACTGTCATGTACTTTTCCTTCATAAAGAACAGTTGGTTTAGTAACACCATGTGCTCCTGAAAGTTAAAGTGGTAGATCCTTGACCAGGAAAGAAAAGTTGGGAGTCCTGGTTATGGGAATTTTAGGACTGGCCTTGAACTGCTGGATCCTATTTTCAGGAAGAGTTGCCCAGACAAACCAGTTAAGAGGCCAGAGGGAGACAGGAAACCTTTTGAGAGGGCCCCAAGCAGGCAGGTCTGAACACAGCTACGTGGTGCAGGTCCAGGGAAAGGATCCTACTGACTGTGAGCCTTGCTGGTAAAGAAACAGGCTCTTAATCACCACCTCATTGCTGTAGAGAATAGCTGAAGGTAGGGCTGAAATATTATCCTTCTATCACATTCATGTTTGGCAAGCTGCTAAAATGTAGTTGCTCTGCCAGAACAGCAGTTTTCTGAACAGCATAAATGGTCTCCCAATACTAGAAGTCAGCAACCCAGCTACTGCCCAGGATGACTTAGGAAAGGAAAGGCTGGATCCAGCCTTCACCAAAACACTTAATCAAATTAAAACAAAAACAAAAACAAAACAAACAAAAAGAAAAAAAAGAAAAAAAAAGAAAAAAAGAAAAAACCCCAAACAAACAAAAAAACAAACAAAAACCCCCAACAACAACAACAAAAAACAAAAAAAACCTCCCAACCCTCAACCCTCCCCCCCCAAAAAAAACCCCCAACAAACAAAACAAAACAAAGCAAAACAAAAAACCTCACCCCAAATAGCTATTTTGTGAAGGGGAAAAATTGCTGAGATAATTTACTGTAAGGATTTTGCTCAGCTACCCTCAGAAACAGTAGGAGTTTTTTCTCTGAAAATACAGAGTACTGGACTTTAATTTCCTCACCTACATCTTTTCTCTGGGCCAGGTTTACTTGCATAGTTGACTCTGACCCAAATAACTATTTTCCAATATCCAATATCTCATCAGCACTACTGCCTATCTCACCACTCAGAATCTGCAATTCAGTTAAACAAAGACATAGACTTTCTTCTCAGTTATTTCTATTTGTAGCTCATCAGAAGGATTATCCTTGATCCCTGAGTACATTCAATTTTTGGTCCAGGTATGAGTAAATAATTTCTTTTTTCTCTAAGAAGCTCAGTGGTGACTTCAGAAGAACTTGCAAGTGACACCAGGCACTGGGAGTCCTTTCAGTCTAAGGCACCTTGCACAGCTGTGAACCAGGTACAAGCTACCAAAGCCCTTGAAACTCCAGAATCTTTTCAGTGACTGTTTTTATCCAGTCACTTATGCAAAGCCAATTATGAATTCTGGTGCATTCCCTGCCTTGGGCAGAGGTCTTCAACAGGGAAACACAAGCTGTTCTTCACAAAGGCTAATAGCCTCTTGGAGGCAATATTCAAAATGGACATCGAAATAGAATTTAGAGCTACAGGAGGGTAAGGGGAAAAGGATCAAAACATATTATAGTCAAAACTCGCCTAAGGATTGCCTCTATGGAGAAGCAGCTATTTACAGCCCTTCCAGTCTGTGGGACAAGGCTCAGGCTGGCATTAGGAGGGAGCACAGCAGGAGTCAGTCAGTGCCACCACATTTGTTATGACCCTCATGCTGTGGATATCTCCAGCACAGACACATCCTTATCATGCTCTTCCATTCAGTGGGCATGGGACTTCAAGGGCTCAGGACCATTCTCACAGTTTTGCATTAACTCTTGAAGCTGATGATGTCACTACATCTCTGAGTGCTCCTCACAGTGCATTTATTTACTCCTATATGAGGAATATTCCATAGCAGAAGCAGACACATGGGCTGAGAAGAAATTTAGAAGCCTACAGTGACATAACTGTGTATATACTTTTTAAAAAAAAAATTGACTATGCTGTCTTTTTGCTTCCAATTTACTGAAAACTCAAACAATAATATTTTTCTAACTCTAAAGACCCACTATGCAGACAGAAATTCCTCCCATGTTTGAACAGTCTACTGGGGTGTCCACCAACTTTTGATAAAAGCCCTTGCAAGTTGCTGATTTCTTAATATCAAAATCCACCTGCTTAATGAAAATGCATATTTTAAAATAGTTGGGGACTGTCATGAGACACCTAATGAAATGAATTTCTGATTATATTGAAAAATAGAAAATCTAAAACATAAAAACAGTAAATTAGAGAAAGCCCTGTGCATTCAAGCAGTACCTCAAAGCCCAAAGTGACTCAGCTGTTTGTTGTGGTGAGGGTGCCCCTTCTTGCTTCAGAACAGGGCTAAACTGCTCTGCAAGCTTCCAGCTCAGGACAAGACTTTTTGGAAACCCTGGCCTCTTGGTTAAGGTCTAAGGTTAAGGTTAAGGCTGAGTCCTTCTGTAAACATCAGCTGAAATTCAGTGCAGGGCTGTGCAGCCTCACACATTGCCCTGAGTCTGGGGGTGCTGGTGCACGATGCTGATGGCTTCCTGGCACAGAGGGAAACCTGATATGGCAGCACTGTGTGCCTACATTTGGAACTGGGGTTAATCCCATGTGTTTTATTTTCTCTTCCATGATAGCAATAAGATTCTCTGGTGATATGCATGGTTTGGCTAAGCTGTGAGCAATGGGCAAGGCAGGCAGGATCTCAGAGCTGTCTCTGGGCTGGTGCTGCAATGCTGTTTCCCCATGATAATTAAGCAAAAGTCCTTTTTGCTTACTCACTGGTACCACAGACTTCTTTTTTCTTCTCTGTTGTTATTTTTAAAAATTTACGTATATATTGAGGAAAGTAATGCTACAATAGCCTGCTCTTACATAAAATAGTTATAGAAGCAGGTAAAACCATCTGGGTCAGAAAAAGAAATTAGATGTTCTGAAATCTGTCAGTCTTGCTAGCACGAGCCTGGCACTGGACACTTTCCCTGAAGAAAAACATATGGAAATGGGGAGTCCTGTGGTCCAGGACAGAGACAGGACAGCCCAGCAGAGCTGAGGAACAGGAATAATTTCCATGTGCTGTCTCAGACCAGTGACCAAATCATTTGCACTGTCTGTGCTGACAATTGCTCTGCAGGCAATGCCAACGCACCCTTGAAGAAGGGCAGGGGCTCGGGCAGCAGCATCCTGGCAGAGAGTGACAGAGCCTGGACAGCTCAGAGGTGTCCACACGAGTATCTGTCACTGCAGTGCAGGCATAGTCTGGTTCTGTCTTGGCTGCTGTCTCCATAATGGGGATAATGGTATTTCCCACAGACTCTGTGGGAACTCAGCCATCAACACCAGGGAGACGGGAGATTATGTGGTTTAGCCTTGTCAGGGATACTCTTTTGAGTGACTGCAAGGCATATTGATTCAAGTAATGCAGGATTTAGAGGCTTAAGCCTTCACCGCCTTGCTAAGAAAAAGGCAATTTTAGCTTGGAGTAACTTGCAGATCTCTCCGGTGAAATAACAGTGGTGCTTTCAGCCTGGCTCCCTCTCTGGCCGTGGGCACAGGCAGAGCTGCCTTGTCCCAGTAACACACAAGTGCCTTGTCTGGACCCTGCTTTGAGACCACTCCTGTGTGTGAGTTATCCCAAGGTAATACCATTC